CCGCGCAATGTGTTTATGTTTCCATTAGCAGTGCGAGCAGCAGACTCCACATAGCAACTGGGTGTTCCACAGTTCTAGGCGTGTAGCGGCTGAGTGCAAAGCTAAACAATACTGTGGGAAAGCTGTTCCCAGTGGGTACCGACAGCCTACTGTGTGACTGTGGAATCCAACAGTCTGTTCGGAATTGAGTCACAATATGTATTGCAGTCAACAATAGTATTCATCAACTACAATTGAGCTGAATGACGCAGCAGTTGTTACACCATGTCGGCAAACACGGCTTGAAGTAACCCCCTTGCTCTTTTTGTTCTGATGTGAATGTTTCAATGAGTTAAAAGGGAACTGAGGATTAGATGTGATCATGGCAAACTCTTAAATTGATCTAACTCATGTTAGGCAAAGATTCAGGATGCATTCCTTTCTTTCAAAATTTGACTCAAAAGCTGAGTTACACATTAGCAGTCATCTCATCTTTCAGCGTAATCATTTAAAGATGTGTTTTTAAAATGTGTATTAGGACCACAGAAACAACCGAGTGAAAGTAATGGGTTATGAAGTTGGTAAGTACTCTCCGTAGATTGTCAGTCACCACATGAAGACCACAGAACAACATAATCGACATTTAAACAAGGGTTGACTAGTCTCAGATAATCTGACAATACACACAATGACTTATAAGGCCCTTTTAAAATATCATACTGTTAACACCAATACCACAGTTAGGCAATTAATTAGTAATGATCACTTAGTCTATCACTTTAATCACGATTAAGATGTGATATTTCTACTAACGGTGGATACATCTGAAAATATAAGATCAAGTTGGAAATCTTCCACAAACATTTAAAAAGAAAAACTGAACCTGCAACATTTCCAGCCACTCCTTTAACAGATGGTTTTCTATACCTGCGTCAGAAAACATCTTATCTCCAGGTTCTCCTAGTTATCATGATGTTTTCTACTTACAATGAGATGATTAAACCTGTTCATACTCTATGTTTCAAAGACATGAGACAAATATAATCATATATTTTATTTAGCACAGTAGCAGAGTTTCATACAATGCACATTAAGATGAACTCTAATACATGTAAAAATACACAATGTAGAAAATAATTCACCTCCTCTCCTTAACAGTGAGTCATTTTCACAGACTCATCACTTTACCCAGGCCTGCCCCGTTAAAGTCAATATGTTGGGGCACATAGAGAATACTAATGTGATCATTCTGATTCGGTTTAATGTTGCATCCCCAAAGTATTTGATGGAAGTAAGTATTTGTTTAACCTTTAATTCTGTTAAATTCCCTTAAATTAGGATTCCTTGCCTTGCTCAATAAATGATAGATAGATAGGTAGATAGATACTTTATTTATCCCAATTTAGGAAATTGTTTTGCCACAACAGCATTTTTTGACAGTCATTGTACACACTATAACATTTACAGAATAAATGAGAATACTGTCTAATATACCAAAGGGACAGAAACATATACATTTATTCTACTATGACCTGTGTACTAAGACATGACCTGTTGCATAGGTGGCAGGATGGTCTTTAGGTACGAAGCAGCTGCTGGAACTGTTTAGTCCGTTACAGCTGACTAAAGGACTCACTGTGCTAGTGAGGAAACATGAAACATTAAAGCTAGCAAATCCATAGAGAGGGCAATTTCTTACCTGTAAAATCACGTTTCAACTCATCCAGTGTCTGCCAACATTAGATGAGCTCATCAGCCGGCTGAACAACAATCACATATCTCCAGCCTCCCTCTGTGGCAATAGGAGACGCTAGTGACTCCGCTGCTAAGGCTTCCTAGCTAATGTTAGCCACTTTTCCCAGTGAAAAGAGCCTTCTCCTCCGCCCGTCAATGATATATAGCTAAAGACTCCACAGACTGAATGTTCTACGCTTCAAAGCAACAGGTAAACTTTAATTAACATCGACAACTGAGTTGAATAAGTGACATGAACGGGATGAAAAAGCATTGCTATCTATCCGCAAGCCTACCTACGTTGCGCATGAGAGTAGCTAAAGGCAACAGGCTAGCTGGCTAATGTTTGTTGCTAAGCAGCGGAGTCAAGCCTTCTTCTTCTACTACCTCTTGTTGTCGGTTTCCAAACAAGGACATATCTCATTAGCGACACCAACTGGTATGAATTGTGTATGATTTCGAATCAAGTTAAACCCAAAGTATCAGATATAAAATAATGTATCATGCAGAATGGACAATTTTCAATTATATATATATGAAAATATTGAGCAATCATTATTGATACATTCATGTAGCCTACTCATCGCTTTAGTGTTTCAGCAGGTAAAGGAGCTTATTCTAGATTACTATACTGTATAGCAGGGGTCGGCAACAGGCGGACCGCGGTCCGGATCCGGACCCAGACGCCGACCTATACGGACCTGGAGCTATAATCAATACATTAATAGGGGATTTTTCGGTGCCTCCCGCTTTTTTAACGCTGATTTGGGTGACTTGCGTAATTCGTGGAGAACCGAAGAGTTTTCGTTTTGGGGGTGGGGGGGAGGGAGTCCGTCCGTCAGCCCGTCAGTCCGACTGACGGACAACTTCTCACTTCAAAAAAGAAGAAGAAATCTAGACCGCAAAAGTAATTAAACAAGCGAGTACCTGTTTTTCCTGGCCAAGGACAGGTTCCTTGAACACAACACGAGCGTAACGTGTCTTCACGTGGTATATGTCTCGTCTGAAAGGAGTTCTGACAGAGAGCACCGGAACGCCGCTCCAGCCCTTAAAATATTGCAATACCCATAAGGAGCCGTACACATGCCGCAGTGTTTGCGTGGCTGTGTCTTTAGTTGTAAGCACAGTGGCGATCTGTTGTTATTAGCATCTGGTTAGCTAGCTATGCTAACGAATTTAAAGAGCTTTTCTACAACCAGGTGGAAGAGAGCTCTCTCCTGAGAGGCTAGGCACACCTTGATATGATCATTATAGTTATTAATGAGACTAAATGAAAAACAGGTATAAAATACTATATGACAGTAACAAAAAAGTTGTTAACAATAACAAGAATAGAGTTTAAAAGGGGAGTGATTTGTAAAATATCCAAAAAGAAAAATATGCTTACAGTTCTGTTTCATATGGGTGTTGAGAGATGTATCCATAGATCTCTTAATGTTGCTCTCAAAGTGCACCAGATTGATGCTTTTAACTTCAATATTTAAAAAAAAATCTTCCCGGGGGAGCATGCCCCCGGACCCCCCTAGAGGAGGTTAGGTCCCCCCCCCACTTAAATCATGTTCACATGGATAGGATACTAAATACATTTGCACACATCTTGTGTCCATATCTTTCTGTTTGGGTGGTCATGCCATGCACATGCATGCATACGTGAGTCATGAAGATATCTGGATTAAGAGGTTGCTTTTTCTTTGCACAGCATGAAAGAAAGGCGAAATGAATGGGCTGTGATTTTAGTTTTTTTAAGCAAAGGTTGAGTTCAATAATTTGTACGACCCTCGGAGGATGTTGTAAAAATTGAAAGGAAAAAGGTTCCCCACCCCTGCTGTAAATAATAATAAAAACCCTTGATTTTTAACTCAACATCTCTGTCTCCTATTGATCTGAGTATATTATAAAGAATAGCAGTTAATTGAAGCATTATAGCACAGGCCTTTGTCAGATGGTATTACGCTGTTTTTTTTCTGCTTCGAATAGTTCTCTCTTTTTTCACCATACCTGTGTTTGCATCACTGTAACCAATGAGCACCTGCATGTGTGTGAGAATGGCCCTGACTCCATGTCAACCCAGATTTACAAACTCCTGGCAGGATAAACTCAAGCTCAATTCTCACACTGAATTTAAATAAAGTGAGTGAGGGACTGCACTATAAGAGGGACAGAAAGAGAAACTTTAAAACTGTTCAATTGTTATGATGTGTAAAGACTGATATTGTTCTATAATCGGCTGAAACTGTTAAGTCATGATGTGAAACGGTTAACAAAGAAAAAGGGAAACTCAAGCTGCTGCTACACTTTATTTTATTTATCTAATATTAAGCACTTTTAAGATGCACACATTTTCAAAAGCTATTTTATTTATTGTCTCTATTTTTATTTGTAAATGCAGCCCGAGAGGAACATTACACATATCCACAGTATTTAAGTAATGTTAATTGACAATAAATATTGTTGTTTTTGAATTGTACTTTCTTTATTTGATTGGCAGTCAGTAGTTGATTACATGCAGACGTTGATAAAGCTACAGTTCACTTCAATATATATATCACACTAATTCATGAAGCAAGTTAGACATTTTGATGTTCCGGACCTTTGCATGGGGAGATTTTCTCTAACTGGACCTCGTTGAATTTTAGTTGAAGACCCCTGCTGTATAGCTTACTCCTTGTTAGTTGAATCTTTATTGATAATTGATACTATAGTAATTATTAATTATCATTATGTATTAGTTATTATATTTGTATGAATATAATTTGAACTACATAATAATACAAATGTAGTAAGGTAAAATAAACAGCATTTCCCTTTGATATGTGGTGAGGTAGAATCATAAAATAGCATACAAATGGATACAATTGAATTACTCATCAATAGTTTTTCCAAGTGAACCTTTACCATTAAGCTCAGAAAGCGTCTTGATAAATAACGACAGTTCCTTAATCTTGCAATTTAATAATATTCCTTTCAACAAAAAAGTCAGTTTTTCAGTCATGGATTTCTGTCTAAGATGAACCACGTGTTTTGGGCGCGCTTGTTATGTCGTTCAGATACTTCCGAAAGTTCCCGTTGCACCTATGTCGACGGCGAAAACGGCAGTCATAAACATAACAACATGTATCAACTATTAATTCCAGACGACTGATTGATAGTTATTATGCAAAAATGTAAAAGGCTTAATTTTCTTTTCTGTTTTAAAGTCATTATCATCAGGTGAGAAACGGCGGGTCACGCGGACAACCTAAACGAGCGCCCCCCACACTATGACAGCGTTTCTCTTCCTGACTGTGCTAAAATCGTCATCATTTACCCGCGTTTGTTGAACAACCCAGTTTGTTTGGCGGGCTTGAGCAGAGAAGAAACAACCCCATCATCGTATCGGTAATTTAACAACAATACAACATTTTGTTATGTTTTAAGTACTTGTCGTATTTGTGTGATATGTTGCTGAGACAGTTTTAGACGTTTGCTGCCTTCAACACAGTTTCCAGGACAGTTTCTGTAAGATAGCAACCCTCACCACGAAGACGTTGCGGTTCTATGTTTGAGATAATGTGTTGTTGACTAATGTAACTGAACTGAGGGCTAAGGGTACAGGGTTTTTAGCTTGAGGGTTACAGGCTAAATGTGAAAGAGCTAACAGCTATTGTACTGCTTAACACATTGTTATATAATTAATCGCTAGCTGGTATCATTAGTTAAGTGTAGTTGTCTTTCTTGTGGACTGGACTCACGGTTTGCTTGCCAGATTTTATATCTTTATATATATTTATATATCTTGTGAAATTAACATCATAATGCCCATTACTGAGTTTAGTGAAGGCAGCTGTAGAATAATAACAAACTGTTTTTATTTAACACCTGTCATTTTATTTTAGACTTTAAGTATTTTGCCTTCAGTGCACTATGAACGAATTTGCATCTCTATTGTTGCAGTTATAAAACATTTTGACAGGGAGAAATGCTTTCTGCATGAATATTCACCCAGTCTTGACCCTTCTATTTACAGTTGGATTATGATTTGTGGTTTGTAGAAAGTAGAAAAGTTATTGGGACTAAATATGCATTTTATTATGCTTTCCAATATATCTTTATTTGATCGAATCCATAAATGCCTGCCCCCTGGTGTGGGCAACATAGATGGAACATTGATTAACAGCAGTAAAGCACGGTACATTGGAGAACACAAGTCATGCAACTTGTTTTAGTTTCTTAGTGTTCTCAAATAAAAAATTGCACCAAATATACCCCCATGGTGAATAGTAATAGCCTATCGTCTTGTGGTGCATTATTATACATTTTTAAAACATTCATGTGTTCCCTTGCCATCAGGAACCATGCAGTTTTCAAGCAGGAGAAAGAAATTCACCACCAACTCTCAGACGGAGCTCTATAGTCATCCTCTGCTGTTCTACGTGCAGCCTCCTCTGGAAAACATCTCTCTCATGGAGTTTGAAACCTTTGCTGTGGAACGACTTAAATGTAAGACCTGGAACTCATGCAGGCGAACAAAATGTCAAATGTTCTGTGATTTCTATGTGACTGTGTAACATTTAAAACGTCTTCTTTTAATGCCACTGCAGTGTTGAAGACCATTGAGAATTTGGGAGTGAGCTATGTGAAAGTCTCAGACCAGTACATAAAGAAACTGGAGGCTGAATCCAAAGCGCTGAACTTTCTTTACAGACCCGAAGCTGTGAGTATGTTTAGCAAGACACATAACAGAGTTTTACACGTTTTTACACAGCACTGATCCAACGTGTTTATAGATACTTAGGACTTCACACTGTAATCCTATTTAGCTTTCCTTAAATTACACTCAGTTGCCACTGTATTGTATTACTGTCCAGTAGTGCTGGGGGGGAAACGATTATTTTGAAAACGATTAATCGGGCGATTATTTGATCGATTAGTCGACTAATCTAACGATTATTTTTCTGTTGTTCAATTCATAAAAAACGTAATGTAAAAAAAAAATTGTTCACGATACTGTGTCTCAGGGGATCTTAATATTTAAGAACCTATTAATGTGTTATACCAGATTAACGGAAATAATCTCAGCTAACTGACGATACAAACCATGTTTACCAAAACAAAACACAAGTCTCATAAGAAGCATCTAAATGACCCCTGAGCGAAAAATGCTAACTGACATTGGCACAGAACTCAAGATAAAAGTACCCTTATTACTTATCGTAGCTGCACATACAATATATCCGATTTAAAGCTGAGACTCCACAGATTATGTAGGTGTACATAGTATCATCACTGAGTGATCCGGACTCGTGACAGGTGAAGCAAATACAGTCATCACAACACGTACCTTCACAGAGCTTCTCGGGAGATCGTCTCACCACCGTAATCTGATCAAAAGACGTGTTCAATAAAATGAGAAAAAACGCGGCTGAATCGGTTAATCCATAGGTTTTTAACGTCTATGTATAAAAAAATGATTGAATTTATAATCCATAATTCCATTTTATGTAAAAATCGGAGAGCAAATGCTAGCTGCTAATGGTAGCCACCACAGCTAGCTGCTGCTTCTGCTAGGCTATGCAGCAGTCTCAGTGAGATATAAATATATAAATATCTTTGCGTTTTGGACTAACTTTAAAATATTCCCATGCTTTTGAAGACCTAGGGCGAGATGTTTTCGTTTGGGGGCTTCGTGCGCAATCCTGTGAGGAGGAGGTGGTAGCCGTTTCAGTCTCCAGTCAGTATCGCACTTCAAACACAATGTTTGAAGTGCGATTGCGAACTGCTTGTTGCTTTGGGTGACCCACGTGTGTGTAGCGACGCGTCGACGCAGAAATATGTCGTCGACGATATTTTGAAGTCGTCGACGCGTCGCTACAGCACTACTGTCCAGTGCTCCTGTTATTGAGCCTACACTCATTGATATAAACGGGCTGGATCAAATGATTAAAATACCTGTCCAAGATATGTAATACACTTCACAACAGCTCAACAATCTGCAGTGTCCAAAATGACCACAAGTTGTAGATGAACCTGCTGTATCTGTCGGGTAGACTCATAAAGACTATACAGCTACAAACAGGGTCAACTTGACTTAGAATTTTAAGACCATCAAATGATTTCATAATTGTGCACTTGATTGACATCAAAAACAAACATACATGATGATTACAGAGAAATAAGAGTTGGGCATAAAAAAGGTTTCTTACTTTCCAAACTATTGTGACTGAATATAGCCTTAATGAATGGAAGGTGGCTTTCAGGTATTGTAGACATGACTGTAAAAACAATTACTCTGTCATTTTGATATTACCTCACAACTAAAAGTATACCCAACAAGACAACAAAAGTTATTAAGAAGTAATTTCTGAAAATATAAATGTCGACAATCATGCTTTTCCTCATTCAACCCATTCAGGATGACAGAAAACCTCAGAGTGGACCAACTGAACAAGAGAAACGCAGAAAGGACCATATCTCCCACTTCATCCTCAGACTGGCCTACTGCCAAACGTAAGTCTGTACTTTCTGTTAAATATTTGTTGTGAATAAAATGTGATTTTAAAATGTTATGCAACTGATACATGTTTGTCTTCATTGTATTGTAAAGGGAGGATCTGAGACGCTGGTTTATACAACAGGAAGTTGATCTTTTCCGCTACCGCTTCAATGCCCTGTATCCAAAACAAAAGCTTGAATTTCTTCACAGAAATAATCTGCAGTATGACACGGTACATTTCTCGCCATTTAAATATTTTGAAAGCCTATTTCTTTTACCTTTTATGTAGATACATTCTGTAACTCAAAGGGTTTATAAAAACGGTCACTAGATGGTGCTGTTTGATCACTGTAGAGAAACCATTAGTGTTAAGGGTTTTCCTTGAATACGGGTTTTGTGTTTTTTCTTCACTTTAGTTTTTGGTGAAATATGTATTTGTGACCAAATATTTCATAGGTGATAAATGTACATAAATGCTAATTTTAACAGTCGCACCTTTCTAACCTTACTCTAATGTGTTTAGTTTCTCTCTGAGTTTTAAGTGTGTCTTTCTCTCCTCTTGAGGAAAGCACTGTTTTCATAAAATGAAGGTTAATACTTAATGGAAAAATGGGGGGGAAAAGTATTAAATAATTTATCAACACATAATGTGTCATGCCAGGACGAAAAAGGCAACTTGGTCTGATGAATGGTGTTCCGTTTCCACAAGCCTTCAATGTATTAACACTGCCATAGTTGTGCGTGTGCCGCTCTCCGCTGAAATTCATCATTCTCATCAATAACCTTTCAGATTAGTGTCGAGGAGAAGAAGGCTCTGCATGATAAACTGGTCAACTCCAGTTACGCTGTCAGTGGAATTACTGTGGAGGATCAAGACTTCTACAAAGTGAGTTACTCATCCCTCTCTCCATGGACACCACTACCATATCATGTGCTTATGCCTCTATAAAGCTTTATACAATAATATTCTGCCATTTATATTCCTTCAGTTCTCACCGGTGGATAAAGAAGCAAGTAATATTGATTTAGCACCGTTAACTCCGTTCATGATATTCTATATGACAGACTTTTAATAAAGAAATTACAGTTTTAACATTGATAAATCAACAGACAGCCAGATGATGTCATTCTGTAATAAATTAACCACCCCACTGTAATTATATTGAAAGTGATTCTTACATTTACTTTCAAAAGCTTGAGTAATTCTTACATGACTAACTGGTTAAAGTAGCTTTTCACAGTTTGGAAAGGCTTAAGAAGAGATGCTTCTGATTAGGTCTGCACAATAGGATGCTTTTGCTAGATGTCAAATTGTGCAATGAACCCATCGCAATAGACTGTGAGATTGCACTTATTACACTGACCCGCAGTGTCAAGTTTCAAGTTTCAAGACAAACATATACCCTATTGGCAAGAAATGAAGTGTTTCTAATCCTCAGTTTAGGATTTGGATTGTAGTGACTTCTGCCTTTTGTCTAATGTTCTACTTTGACATATCTGTCTTTAGTTTCACCCACATTGTGTAATCCTAACTTGGCCAAGAGTACCAGTCTAGCAGTTTACTTCCGAGTCTGATTTTAGGAATTCACATGGAATAAAACGCTGATTTATTGAAGCTTCCCCATCTTTTAGGTAATATTTTGTCAGGAGGAGAAAGACCATCTTATTATATGAACTATAAATGCCAAATATTGGTTTAAATCCCTATTCTCTCAAATGTAGAAATAAGCACCGGAGTCTTGATTTTTTTTTTTTGCCCAAAAAAAATGTGGACATTATTTTGTCAAATGTCTTAATGTTCACATTGGAGCGAAAACTAAAAACAATTGACTGCTAGAAGATCCCCTTAAAATCCTTTCACATTTGAATGGATTTAAGTCTACAGATGTAAGTTCACAAAGTGAGAGCAATGGGGAAAGTGTCATGGCCTCCTACTTGACTTTACATTTAAGGCTTTTGCTAAGAGTATTATTCGTTGAGCGCATGTTAATCATCAGACTCTCTGTAAGTGCATATCGATGTAATGCATCCAAATGATGAAGGGCAAAATGGATTGCCCCAGAATCCTGACACGTATTTTATGCAAACTGAATATTAATATCCATTGAATCCATTCATAATTCTGAATATTTACCAATTTATTTTAAAGGTTCCATTTCAAGACGCCCTGGATCTAGTGCGATCGAGGAAAGTGTACCTCAAAGCCGGCTACGTGTACATCCCCCACCAGGAGATCGTCACCATTGTTCTGAACGATTTCCGCACCAGGCTTTCTAAAGCTCTCGCAGTAAGTATTTGCAGCGCTTCACTGTTTTAGAGAGAATTAATAACAACCTTACAGAAAATTCAAAGGGAAATGTGTGAACATTCACCCTGTCACATTTACGTATCGACACACACTGTATGGGGGGCTTTCAGATGGATAGATACACCTTCCTGACTTTAACAGCTACACTTTGCATTGTATTGTGTTTATGTTAATTATGCACCCTAGGGCTGAACGATATATCGTGTCATGGCGATAACCGCGATATGCGCATGCGCGATATTCACACCGCAGGGACGTGCGGTTTTATTCATTTCTTTTTTTAAATGCTAACGCACTTTAGCACAGAATTCTAAATAAAGATACCCTTATTACTTATCGAAACTTCACATACAATATATCCGATTAAAGCTGAGACTCCACAGATTATTTAAGTATAGTATCATCACTAAGCGATCCGATCTCGCGACAGGGGAAGCAAACACAGACATCACAACACGTACCTTTACGAAGCTTCTAGGAGATCGTCTCACCGTAGCTGTCAATCTGATCAAAAGACGTGTTCAATGGCATTAAAACGAGAAAAAACGCGGCTGAATCGGTTGATCCATAGGATAATAATGTATCTGTGGCTTTGAAGCAATTGTTTATAATCCATAATTTCATTTTTATGTAAAAATCGGAGCACAAAAGTTAGCTGCTAATGGTAGCCACCAGAGTGTATGCAGCTTCCGGTTTTGGCTACGCGTCACTCTCACTCTTTATTTGTTCATGTGTTGGTGTGTGTAGAACTTCCCCTCGATTCCATTGGCTCTAGCGGTTATAAAGAGATTTCATTCGTCAAAATCGACCAAGGGGGGCCAGAGATATGGAAAATCCACCCAAATGACCCCAGAAGTGTTTTTTTTTGTTGCTAAATCTCTCTAAAAAGGTCAAATATCACTTGTTTTGCATCAATCTTGATACAGGGTACTTATTATATGTTTTACTTTGTATTCCTAAAGCTTTTAGTTTACCTTACCATCATCCAAGGTTAGTCTTCACTATAAGTAAAAAATTATTTTTGGACAGACACTATAATTTACAGTTTTTTACCATGTTCAATCTGAATTTTCTTTAAAATAAAAAACATCTATATTGATTCTGACTTTTCTACATCCAACTCACAGGTTTATCATTACTTTGAGAGAAAAGATTATTAATTTAACCCTTTTAGAAGGGAAGATATGGTCATTTGTTCTGGGAATGTCATTTTCGAGCCTGAGACCTGAAAAACACGCTCAGTGCTTAAGTAGGTACATTAACTCAAACACGTCATGTTACAATTATTTTGCTGCTTGCTACAAAAGGAAAACTTGCGCGGCTCTCATGTCAGGGGTACTTGAGTGAGTGACATGCAGGCTCTGCATGCACAGCAAACCACCAATCACAATCATTCTTGATCAGATCACAGCAGGCTCCGCTAGTTTGCAGACCATCAAAACAAATGAGCGAGGCACAAGAGGACAATACCTTCATCCGGTTAAATATAGTTAAAAAAAACGCAATATATATCGCAGGGGGGAAAATATCGCAATGTCAGTTTTTTCCAATATCGTGCAGCCCTAATGCACCCTCTACATGTACTTTATGTAAATACATTTTGTATACGGTAAGTTGGTTCCATAAGGCAAATTGTTAAATTGCTGCTATGGCTGTTCCCTTCAGTGCCCTGTGGGAAAAAGGAGAAGCGCAGGGTTGAAGGGGGAATAAGTATGCGCACATGACAGAAAATGTCTGGAGGGAACAGTGACGACAGCTAGTATAAAAGTACTCATTATCCTTAAGGGCATGGTTTTTTAAAGGCTGTGGAAGTAGTTCTATGAAGGCACAATTTCAGCATTCTTGTGCGATGCATTGAACGCCCCGAGGGACATTGAACATGGTATTTTAGGGTCCAGAGGCATTTTTATAATACATGTGAGGAGACAACCAGTTCACTTAAATCGTTGTGAGGGCTAATGACTAGGGAACAGGCAGAAGCACGCTCAACAACCATAGGCAGCCGCCCTGCTGTTCAGAGTTTAGGAAAAAAACTTCCCTATTAATGAGGTGCAAGCAATCTGAAATGCAGGCGAATAGAAGTCACAGATATAAAATATGCAACAATAAAGAACAGAAAATCCTCACTGTTCTGATTGGAATCTCAATGTTTTAATCTACATACAATTATGTACATTGTATGTGTTATCAGCGAAAAATATATGTGAATACTATACTGAAGTAATCATATTGTTTGTGTAATATACAGTAATTGTGATGCAAACGGGCGACAAAGAGAGGATATTTTCCTCAATCTGAACCATGTGCTCTTCAATATCAGAATAGGAAATCTAAAGTAAATATATGTCTGTGGAGAATGCTTTATTCATTACGTTACATTTATATTGTATAGTCTGGAAATTATGGGATCAATATGAGTATAGCAATATTGTGTCCTAATATTGCTAAAAACACACAATCTAAGCTTATCATAGCTTAAACCTTAGATGGAACTATTTCGCTCTGGTTGACAAAACATGTGATATTTTGAGTTTCCAACTAAAGTGTAGAGTCATAAGAGCCTCCTATTGCAATGCCTTTTGAAAGCAGCCGTTTGATTCCACTTCAAAACCGGGGGTTCATTGTTTTGTTCATAGAAAATGATTTGGCAGTTTGAACAAAGGTCCATTTATGTTTGGTGATTGTGGTGTTTTGTTCACAAACTTGTAATTAACTGTGTTGTCACCTTCAATCAGTGCCTTAACGTGTCATTTCTGTGTTCATGACAAAGAGTGCACTCAACTCAAATTGAAGCACTCAAACTGGAATATGCGTAACATATTCACACAATAGTGATATCAAAAAGTGATTTTCAAATCAAGACTGGACACTAGATTAAGTGTAGAAAATCATTGCCTGTACTAATGTTGGCGTAGTGGGCAACATGTACTTGATTTGCTTTAGCACTTATCCTCCATCGTGGGACAGGAAGAACCATTTTCTCTAAATGACAAAAGGAAAAACGAATAAAAGGGCAATTCAGTCCAGTCCCGCCATTCTCCCATTTTCTGGTAATTATCCGGACCACTAACTGCTGGAATGGAATAGCGCTCCCAAAAGCTCTTTCTCTTGTAACGGTGCCATTGTGACTGTTTGGTATGATTGTTTCTGTGTTAGTACTAATAGTAATTCTCTTCCACTGGGGACAAGAAGGACCCAATGTGGAAATATGTGCCATTTCAAAGGCATAAAGTTGAAAGCTGTTTCTACATTTGACTCTAATTGTTGGTTGGATGTTTGTTTCTACAGAAATAACAGAAATGGGTTATATTAAAGTGTATCAAGGCAGTTTTTTCGAAAGATTACACTGCACTTTTGCTTGGGCGTGAGTCATGTCTATAAAGCATTTAGACAAAGTGCAGCTTTTTGTTTTTGAGGGATGTGCATAGGGTCAGACTTTCAACTGAGAAAGTTCCCAACAAGCTGAACTACGTGTTCAGACTGAGGCAGAATGTGTTGGTTGTTTGAAGGGATGGGTGTAAAGCAGTGAAACGTTCACTAACTGTGATGCAGTTTACTTCAAATAGCTGGGGTCACTAAGCTGTGGCCTTGTATTTTAATGACTGTTATGTGTAGTACAACAAATGTGCCTTTTTAAAATGCAATCTTAGCTTCTTCTAGTCCTTTGACCAACACTATTTACCATTGCTAACATGGTGTCCATCTGATCTGCAGCTGACAGCCCGCTCGCTACCAGCAGTGCATTCTGATGAACGGCTCCAACCGCTCCTCAACCACCTCAGGTAAGCAGCAGCGGGATTAATAACTTCGCTGCCACTTTGCCAGGGCTCCGGTGAAAAAGACATTTAGCACGATTGATCTTTGGCACCAGAGATCGTTTTGGAGTCTTGGTCTGAGTAAACCCAATCTGTCCCAGTGGAGAAGTCCGGGGGAACTTGTGGTCCTAGGCTACGTGTGCAGCATTAACGATCCGTACTGTTGAATGACTCTGTTTTGAGGTGATTAAGAATATGCAGAATTGGCCGATGGGGGCTGTCGTTTCAGTCTTATACTGTTCCAAAACATCGTATGTTGATCATAGATGTCCAATAGTACTGACAGAAATGAACAAGGCCTCCTTTTAGATTCTAAAACTGCTAATTGCTTTCTAACCCCCTGGAGATGCCCTAAAGATATAGGTTGCTATTTTCATAAATAATAACTTTCTTTCCTATTTGTTAAAACGTCACTTTATTCTGACAGCAGAGCATGAGATGGATTATCTGTGAGTAAATCAGCTTCCAGGGAAACCACCAATCAGAGTAGGGGAGTCTAACGCAGTGTCAATCACTGCTTGTGGACTCCAATCAAACTGTCAAACTAAGCTTATCAAAAATAAATCAAGATTCTGTAACTGCTTTGACTATTTCTAATCTGAAGCGTTGTCCTAAACATCATTTAGTGAACCTTTTGAGCTGTAAAAGGAGAAAGTCTGACCCAGCTTCCATGTTGAAAACAGTTGAACTAAATATACAAAAAATAAACTTTACAAATCTATAAAATAATCTGTCTCATGCACCACTGTCAGGATAAAGTGACAGTGTGTGCATGTTTACCATTGGAACTAAGTTAATGTGAATCAGCACACAAGTTTATATGAAAAAGGGCTTAATAGCAGCAGCCTTCATTTCAGCTTCAATAGAGAAGAACAGCGGCTCACAACACAGTGAGGGGGTTTATCTCACTTTAGATGAAAGTAAGAACATGATTATAAGGGTGGAAGAAGTCATGTTGCCCGATTGTTGATGGGGATTAGGGGGTAGGCTGCTGAGATTAGGAGGCAAGCCACTAATCTGTGAGGTGGGGGGGGGGAACACAATGAGAAGTAAAGCGCTGCCATACGCAACTCAATGGGTTGCCAAAGTCATCGACTTAAGAATTTAACGATAGCAGTTTATTTATTTGTTTCGCAGGGTGTCCCAGGGGATGTGTTTATTTCCTTTTTTGTAATGATTGTTTCCAGTCTTTAATATCCAGTCTGTAGTTGCTGATTGCATTTTGGAAACAAATATAATCCGATTTCATAGAAGCCCTGATTGCTTTTCAAATTGTTACTGTTATATACGTTGCTTATTTGTCACAGTAAATATGTTTTTTCTTCTTTTAGTCATGCCTATGTGGGACAGGATTACAGCATCCAGAAGAACGTAGGGAAAATCTCCTTGGAACAAATTGATTCAGTAAGTTACATTGACCATCTATTCTTGAAATGTCAGGTTCAAGGTGCCCTTTTGCCTGGGAATGCAAGGTGATAAAGGGGGGGGGGGTGAAGTGTGTACAGTATTTCTGTTAGTCCAGAGCTAGAATAGAATAGAAGTGTATTTTTAGTTCAAGCTTTTAAATTCACATGTGTAATATGTTGCTCCTCCCATGGAGTAAATTAAACAACTAGAATAATATATGTTTACAGGTACAGATGAAATTATCTTAATATTTGTATGTTATGTTTTCTGCGCCCAGCTATCAGGAAAGTCCTTCCCGCTCTGCATGAGGCAGGTCCACCAGAGCCTCAGAGAGAACCACCACCTTCGTCATGGAGGCCGCATGCAGTACGGCCTCTTCCTCAAAGGCATCGGCCTCTCCCTGGAGCAAGCCCTGCAGTTCTGGAGGTCAGAGTTCATCAAAGGAAAAGTGGATGCAGACAAGGTAAGGTTGAAAACCAAACTTGTAAACATGTGTGTTGTGTTCACCATTATCTTAACAGAGACACTTTCAAACCACATCAGGCTAATTCGAATGCTTAATCTAGCTAAGAGACAAGTGCAGCTCCCTGTTTTCCCATGGCGGAGTGTCGTGAAGTCAGCTTGGGGAGATAGACACATCAATCGGCTTTCTCCTAAATATGATTTGGCAGATATTTATTACATAATATTCTTGCTTAGCAATGCCTTACTGCAACCCAGAACCCAGTTACAGAGGAAGAAGAGAGACCTATTTTGAAAAGTGACATAACTATGTCAAAGGCTATGTTTAGGTGTTAACTACATGTAAGATTATAAAGAAATGAAGGACAATGATGCAATAATTCAGTGACAAGGGCAAATGCCAACGTTTTTTGAGTTTGTTACAGATTATATACTTGTCCATAATTCTTTTCAAAACAAGACAAAAAAAGGCTCTTCTAAACGTCACCTGATAAAATGACCCAGACAGGGTTTTAGTTGAACCCCAGATCAGTGGACAGTTGGGATCAGTGGACAATTCCACTGGCCCTCCGGGCCGGTGGAATTGTATTATCACTGGCCCCACCATTGTAACCACTGGCCCGGAGCATTCGTCCACCAAAAAAAAATCGACTAATAATGAAGAAAATTAACACATTTGTTGCAATAGTAGCCTAATTTATGCACTAACTACATTACTACTTGTACTACAACATTTGAATAATCAGTTCTTCCTAATTTTCCTCAATTGTTCATATTTGGTTTATTAAAATAATGATATTGTGGTCATTGTTAAAAAATTTTTATTATTATTATTTGTATAATACACTTTCTGCCTTCCTGTCATTAGGAGTTAGACATGTAATGGCTATAGATTAGATAAGATCCTTCATTATCCTAAACTGCTGGGACATTTCCCTATAGCCAATACCTTTATATTGTCTACTCTTCACTTACTTGTCAGCATAGGTCGGCATTGATGTACAGAGCCGACAGAAGACCTTGTTCATATTGCCATCATATTGAGAGGTGCAGTAACTCGTCCTAAAACCAGGAAGTAAGCTGCTGGTTCCCTCCACAAAAAGCAATGGGACTTCTCCACAGGGTTTTGGAAAATAGCTGGAAATAAGGTCTGTGGAAAATAAACCTGTTTGATAAATGCACGTTTTGTTCAGCCGGATAATCTCCACATGTCTACCCTACTTTTATAATTTTCGAATCATAAATCTAATCGATAGATTATAAAAGGGTTTTACGACGCGGCACTGCACCACTAGAACCATCGATCAAGCTGGCTGAAACTTTCTCTCCCTCTTTTTATTTTTTTATTTATCCTTTATTTATCCAGGAATGTCCCATTGAGATACAAGATCTCTTCTTCCAGGGAGTCCTGACCAACACGGCACACAACAAGTTTCAACATAAAACAAGGGCATTAAACAAAAAACATACAATTCAAATATAAATACAGAAGGCCATTTGTGCAGTGGCAAGAAGCATAATCACATCAGCAATAGCATCAGGTAAAACAGTTACATGTTTCATGAAGGGCTAATCGTAGCATACCTTTAAAAGCATTTACAGTAGGAAGTGCCTCGAGACAAAGTTTTACTTGCAGCGTATTCCATAAAAAGGGAGCATAGTGGGAGAATGCAGCTTTACCAAGCTCTGACTGCATCAAAGGAACATTTAAAAGCATCCCATTTGCTGCTCGTCTGGTATTAAAAAAGCAAGTATAAAAGGACAGAAGTCTGGAGATATATAAGGGCAGCTTACCTAGCAATGACTTAAGGATACAAATCAACATGTGTGATTGTCTTCTTTGGTACAGAGAGGACCATCCTAGGGACTGATACAAAGTGCAGTGGTGGGTGCGACAGCCTGCACCCGTTACAAAACGTATAGCAGTATGGTACGCAGAATCCAGCTTTTTAAGCAGGGAGGAAGGAGCATGCATATAGATCACATCGCCATAGTCTAATACAGACAGAAAGGAACTCTGCACAATTCTCTTCCTGGCTTCAGACGGGAAACATTTCTTTAAACGGAAGAAAAAGCCCAGTTTAGGTCTAAGTTTTCTCAGTAGGTTCCCAATATGAACATCAAAGGCCATCTTTTCATCAATCCATATGCCCAGATATTTGTAGGATGCTACTTTGTCAAGGCATGTCCCTTCCAGTGACAGAATCGGAGGGACAGCTGTATTAGCTCGAGAGCGAGAGAAGTTCATGTACTTGGTCTTTTTTGCATTAAGGACCAGTCTTAGCCTTAGCAAGGAGTGTTGCAGTGTATTAAAAGCATCCTGTAGAAGCTCTATGGCCTGAGTTAAAGCGGAAGCCACTGTGTAAACAACTGTATCATCGGCGTATAAATGAAACCGTGCTGGGTTTATCCCATTTCCTAGTTCATTTATAAAGATGGAGAATAAGACGGGGGCCAAAATAGAACCTTGTGGAACACCTTTGTTTACAGTAAGTGCAGCTGAGGTATAATCTTCTACTGAGACACACTGAGTACTTTCAGATAGATAGTTTTTAAACCAGCTCAAAGCCATTTTGCCAAGACCTATGCAGCCAAGCCTCTGCAGTAGCAATCCATGATCCACAGAATCAAAAGCATTAGACAGATCAACAAACAATGCTGCACAGTGTTTTTTCTTGTCTAGTGCTTCAATTATGTCATTTGAGACTAGCATAGCCGCTGAAGTAGTACTATGGCCTGATCTGAAGCCTGACTGAGACTCGTTAAGAATATTATGATCAGTTAGAAACTTTTTCAGTTGTTCGTTTACAACAACTCTTCTTCTCATGCTCCCTGTCACTCTCCTTTAACTCCTCCGGTGACTTTCTTTTATTTGAAGATTGTTTTTTGCCCGGCTACCGCTGGTATTAAAAACATTTTGGCAAATGGTTAGGTGGCGCGATAGTCTGTGGAGCGCGCTCCCGCTCACGGGAGCCTGCTCGCGCTGTGCTCCGCAGCAAACAGCTGTTTGCTTTTCCCCCAACAACGATAACCGACTCACGGAACGCTATGTTGTAGCGTTGATAAACGAAATAATTTAACTAAATTGCTAGTCAAAATACCAATACCACAGGACTTTTTTTTTTAAAGCAATATTTTTAGTGGCCCGAGCGGGCAAGTGCAAAGTACGTTATGCTGGCCCGGGGTGTCTAAATAGTGCTTCCGGGCCATTTATAATGTCGAGCCCTGTCTGAGTGCTGGAGTGCTGCTCAACACTTAAATGGGTGCTGCTGCTTCATTCAAGATGAAGTGGCCCCATCAAAGCTGCATGGCTTAAAAGGAAGTTCACTGGTCTCATTATTTGAGCACAGTACTGTGTGGAGGCCAATGAAGACTAGAGGGTTCAGATATAATGTCTCTTAGTAGACGACAGTTAAACACAACATGTGTTCGGCATGAGCGGAACCAAGACTCTTTATGTGAATTCAAGTTAATAGTGATTTAACAATGTAATAGTTCTCATATTGTTTTGTTAACTATCAACAGCATTGGGGTTTGTATATTCCTGATTCTGATCTATTAGATACCTGTAGATATGTTGTTTAACATCGTGTCTGATTTAGTCAATTCAATATTCATTGACATTTATAAGGTCAAACTTCTGCACCATGTGCTCGACAAGCTCAAAAAGATAACTCAAACGGGTTTATTACCAGGTAGGTTGACACGCACAAGGAATTTGACTAGGTGTCGTGGTGCATACATAAAAGTAAAACAATAATTAAAAAAACACAGACTATTTTAACAACACTATAGTAACATAAAACGATAAAATAAAGCCGTATTTACATTGAAATAGAATGGATGTAAATGCTGCTTTATTTTATTTTTTATTTTACTATATTTTTTCTTATTTTTCCGTATCTTAGAACTGCATGTTTAATAGATAATCGCGCTAGTTGTATAGAATACATTCACATTTCTCAATGCTCCCCCCCCGACACAGCCACTTAGGAATCCCCTGTTGAGATATTATGTCTTTTACAAGATGCACTCTAAAGTGCTTGAACCATGCAAATTAACTTCCAAGTGACTGAACTTTATTCTGTGCCATGGTTAGAGAAATAAAAACGATTTAAATGTAAAATAAAAATCCCCTTGGAGTCACAATCTAAGGATCCAGAGTCGAGCTGAAACGATTATTAAATTGAATCTGCTACTATTTTGATAATCCTTTAAGCGTTAAGGCATTGTTTTGTAACACTTTTTAGACCAATACAAATCATTCGGTGTAGCCATAACTTTGATTATTAACCCTCAAAGGTTTCCTAAATACAGTGGGGGGGTTTAGTCATGTTTTTATTTGTTACTACCAGCATCACTTGCTCGGCATGACAAAATACCTGTGCTCTTATTTAAATAAAATCCCATCATGGCATTCGTCTTAATGTGCTTTATTGAAACAACATAAGCTCGGCTAGTCATCAAATATTTAGTTTTATTGATGCTTCTTTAAATATGTTTATGATTGCTGTATTTGTAAAATACACGTCCATCTCACTGTTATCTACATGGAGTACTGACGGGTAGATATCAAACCATTTAAATCAGCCATGTGAGCTGCTTTTATAAATATAATAGAATAAGAATTAGGACATGTGTTGAATCAGACAGAGGAAGTGTCCTGGCATATTTTGAGAAGATCTTGAGCTCCTATTTCATGCTGGTGCCACAGTTTCAGTTGTAAAGAAAAAACATCAAATACTTCTAAAGCGGACTCTGATGCTCAAGATACAGTCTTTCATCTTTTGAGCTGTTCGAAAATCTTGGGTATTGGAAATATGTTCAGGACCCCCCAACCCGGTTCCCATCTATATTGGTAGGATTAATTGTATATTGTTGTAAAAACATTACATTTTCTTTGCTAATAAGATGCAAAGATCCAACTATCATTTTATATTTTATTATGGATTACACATGAACAAAAGTGAAAAATAGATTTTTAAATTCAAATTTCTATGA